GTACTGATGTATGTAAATGTTCCCTCTACATTATCTTGGGTTCAGCTTCAAAACAACCAGTGTTCTAGTCTCTATCCATAGGATTAGTGTGCTTATATCACGTTGACCATGTAACAACAAATTGCTCCAAAACTCAGTGGTTAAGAGCAGCAGCACTTATTCATTGGGCCAGGAATTCAGAAGCAGCTGGGCATGAGTGGGGCACATCTTCATTCCCAGTGCCCAGAATTAGAGGCAGGAAGATTCTGAGTTCACAGTCAAGTCAACCTGGGCTACTAAGACTGTCACAAATTAACAAATACAAACAAATGAATTCGGGTGCACCCTTGGTTGAAGGGCTGTGTCCTGGAATATTACAGTTATTGGGGCTGGAGAGATGGTTCAGTGGTTAAGAGCACTGTCTGTACTTCCAGTTCCCAGAAGCCACACAGTAGCTCACAACCATCCATAACTCCAGTAACAGGAGATCTGATGCTGTCTTCTGACCTCCATGGGCACTTAGGCACGTGATACACAGATAAACATAAAGGTAAAACATTCATACACATAACATAAATTTTTTGAATTAAGGAAAAAAGAAGTTACAATTCTCTGTGAAATAGGTCTGCATTCGGGTGAAAGGCTGATGGTACCAAGGGGTGGGTGGCTTCTGATCTGGCTCCCTCATAGCCTCTAGTCTCTGCAGCACTGCTTGAGTGTCCTTACAGCATGGCCGTGTTCCCAGAGCAAGCCATTCAAAAGGCCAGGAAGGAGATTCTAATCCCTTTGTTGCCTAATCTCGAAAGGCACAGCACTTCCCCTGTCTTCTGTTTGTCCCACGGATCAACCAAGCCTTTGACCCAGGAGCCTTTGCAGCACATTCCAGATCCAAGCTGTACTACTCACTTATTTCTGTTTTGGAAATTTATCTGCAAAGATAAAAGCAGCCATGTGCCAGGATAGAAGTGTGATAGTGTTTGTTCCAGGAGTGTTGTTATATGGGACACTGGAGACCGAAGGACTTAAATTCCATATTGAGGAATAATGTGCAGCAACTAAGCATGATGATTAGAGATATGTGTACTCATGACATAGTAAATCTTAAAAACAACACCAGAGTAACAAATACATAATGCCATTCCTATGCAAAATAAAAGCCAACGTGTGTGTGTGTGTGTGTGTGTGTGTGTGTGTGTATGTGTGTGTTTGCATGAATCTGGAGAGAAGGCTTTGAGAAAGAATTAATTTTTTTGTAATAATCTGATTACCATTTCCATGGAGAGGGGAAAAAATAGGAGAGAAAATGTATACCGTCACCTGGGTACCAGGCATCCACACTGTCATGTCATTGCAGGTAGTAAGTGAACAAACCAACCGTCCTTGATTCAGAAGCTCCCGTTCAAGACTTCCTACTCCTGTTCAAGTCTTTCTTCTGCCTTTGGCTTTTCCTGAAATGGAGGTGACAAAATGTTCCCGAAGGAAAGCTAGGGGAGTAGCCATTTCTGGTGAGGTACATGGAGGGCAGAACAGACTGCAGTGCTTAGGAGGAGAGCTGAGGCTGTCTCTCAAAGCATCGGGGAGAAATGAGCTGCAGAGGTGTAGCAGCTCCGAGGGAGGGGGTGTCTCCCAGAGGCCCTCGGGTCCCACTTAGCCTGGCAGCGTTTCTTGGGGAATATTGATCAAAAGTGCTCACCTCTATCATCTGAGGAGCATAATGCAGTCTGTGAGTATTCATGGAAAAAAGCTTTTCTTGGCCAGGCTATTTTCTGAAGTCAAAAAGATCCTTTCAGGATCTGTAATAGCCGGCCCTCCACACTTCACACCCTCAGTGAAAAGCACACTCCAATTTTCAGACCCTGGGACCCCACGCCAAGGAGGAGGCTGATGAGCGGGACCTATTCATGTAAAATAGTCTGTCAAACTCAATGAGCATTTTGCCAGAGGGAGAGGGAGGGATACATAAATGTTAGATTAGAAATTCCACCTGGACACACAGGAAAAGGCACTCTTGTTCCTGAGATCATTTAATGCAACTGTTCTTCCTTTCTTAAAGGTCTTAAATGGAATTTTCAATCGCATACATAATATAGTCAGATACGGAAAGCCGCGTATCAGTGTGCTATTAAACCTGTGTTTTCCATGTCTGACGTGGTATGGAAGACGCAGACAAGGACTTCCTAGTTTCTCTGACTTTGGTTATGTAAAGAGTAGACTCATCAACATTATTTTTAAATTCTCCTATTTATCTACACACACACACACACACTCCAACCATCTCTTTCTCTAGTGCTAGGGATCAAACCCGGGACCTCGTGCATACACATACAACACAGGAGTTTAAATCCGCACCTCATCTCTTATTATCCAACTTAATGTAGGCTAGCAGGGACTTGGGTATTAAAAAACATTTTTTTCTTGCAAAATTCTAACAACCAATAAAGCACGATGCAATCTCAGCAAGTCTTCAGTCACCCTTTAGGATGGATGTCATTTCCCACCCAGGCTGTCCTGCTGCGGTGCTGCTGGCCAGCTGCTGAGGAGCACATGTGCAAGGGGAGCGTGCCATAGATAGACCTCTGCCTTCCCTCATTGGGAAGCTACACTGGAGAAGCTACAGCAGACAGCGTGTGGAAAACCTGACCCTTGGCTTTGGAAGCAAGCCGTTTGCTGGTGGGCTCTGTGGTGTTCAAGCGACATGGTGCGTTTTTACCATCTTTTCCTGGAATACTTACCTGTAAAGGCTCTTAGGAGGCAACTACAACTTGGGTCAAATGGTACCAAGTGCTAAACATCACGTGGCTTTTTGATTCTAGAAGGTGGGAAAGACATTCCAGGGTGTGGTCAGCCCGCCTGGGCATTGCACTAAGCACGCCTTGGTGCCAGATCTTTATTTTCAGTCTTTTTTTTTTTTTTTTTTAGTTAAGACCCATGCAACCTGCCTTTCCAGGAATCTGCTATCTGGTGGTTTTTGAATTCCCAGTAGGGGTTGGTTCCAAGCGCTCTTTTTGTGGATGATAAGGAGAGGTCAGATTTCTGGCAAACCAGACATCACAGTGCCAACACCTTACTGTGCTCAGTCTAGTTCCTGTGACAATAGACTCAGGGTGGCCTCCGATGTGGTCTTAGACGCATCCTCACAGTGGCTACGCTACAATGGGCACTAGAAAATTACATTGTTTAAGAAACAATCCATGTACTGGTCAAGAACAGTTATTGGTGCTAAATGGAGGTGTAACTACACATGGAGACCTGGGAGACTCAGCTCCTGCCTAGAGCCCCAGTCTAGCTGCCTGACAGCCAGTGAGGTAACACCTTCAGGCCTCAGTTTTTACAGCAGAAGTAGATGGAAGACAGAGTTGGTGTTCCCAGCTGTAGGCCAGGGTGTTAAGGAACCACGTATGCAGAGAGGTATTCTTTGTGATATTTTTCCCCACAACTTCCATGGGCTTTTTTTTTTTTTTTTGAAAATGAAAAGCAATTAAAACCATATCCATTTGTAGAGTGCAAATGAGAATAGTGTTCCTTGGTATAAACATTTTCATCAAGTGGCCTTGGCTTAAATGACACACACAAGGCTATACCAGAGATTTAGAAGTGAACACTGTAAATGCGGTGTCTTCTCATTAGGAGATACTCGGTCGGAGGAGACAGGCATTTCCCCTGGGATGCTAAACAAACAAAACCTCCCACATCAAAAACCGACAATTGCATTCTTCTAGTAATGGTCCTTTTCAGGGGAAGCTGGATTCTTTCTGATATGGTCTGAGGGTGTTGACGAGGGTGTTGAAGATGAGCCAATCTCTCACAGGAAACATGGTCCCGAGAATCAACCCCTTCCCACCTTTCTGCTATAAACGTGAGAAGAACTTTCTTTACGAGACAGTAGTGACAGCAGCCTTTGCGTTTTCAGTGCTCACTTCCATATCTGCAAAGTAGCCCACTATGACCCCAGAGGAAAGCTCCCTGGGAATCCTGGAAGGCCATCTGCCGAGCTGAACAGTTAACAAGAGGAAAGGACTTGGCTCCAAGGAGCAGCTGTAGAGCAGTGGGCCACCCAGCTCCACAGACGCATGGGGCTGCCTCGAATACCCATCAGCGGGGCTCCTGTAGCTCCCTAGTCAATTTCTGGGCATCCATCACCTTCCGGGTAGCTATAAGGGATGCAGATGCTTTAGTTCTACCCTGGGAGGGGATGAGGCAGGAATCTGAATCCTCCTTAGAAATGCCCAAATGAAGCAGGAGGCTGCGAAGTAGTGCTTCTGGCTCACAAAGCTTCAGTTGTTTCTAGAAGGAACTATATAAGCTCTTGATTATCAGTTAAAAGCTAAAATGAAGCCAGGCCAATTGAGGCTCCACTTTGCACTTGACTCCCTAGACCCTTTCTCAGGACACCAATACGTTCTGCAAGTAATGGGTGCTCAGCAAGCATTTGCTAAAGGAACAAGTGAATGATTTGTTATAAACTAGGTTGTTCAGCATTCTGAGAATTCGCTGTTGTCTGGAACATGGAGTGGCACACTATGGTCTCGGAGACCACAGGCAAGGTTGTAATGTGATTGCTGGAGTCCTGAGGCAGGAAATAGCAGTACCTGGCTTCAGCCACACCAGGAGGTCAAAATTACATATTGCCTGTCACCTAATATCAAAGTTCTCCTTAAGAACAGGAACTCTAGCCAGAATAGGGCAGGGGTGCCTAGGAAAGACAAGACAGGGGGCAACACTATGAGGCTTAATATCAGTTGTAAAAACAGACCGTACTGGCCTAGCCATGCCATTATGAAGACAGGGATGGGTTTAATTCGGTGAGATGATGGGTGGAGGACACGGATGGTATCCCATCTGTAGACCAGAGTCTCGAGGAGGCCGCAGATGCCCTGGTGGCTGAATATCAGCATTCCATACTATGAACCATGATGTAGATCCTGCATGAGTATGTATAAGCCTTCTGAGTGGTATCAGCTACCATACTGAGCACCTGTTGGCTTTGGGTTTATAAAACGCTTTTGAATAACTTTGTTCAATAAAAAATGCAAATCAACTTTGTATAGAGGCTGGGATAAGCTTTTATTTTCCTACAAACCATGAGAATGTCAGAAACATGCAGCACCTAGATGCTGTAGTTCTAGCTCATCAAATCGTCCCAGGGAATCAGAAAGAAAAGGAGCGGACTGGAGTTGAGTGGCACCATCTAAGGAGCTAAGTGTTTTCCCAGCATGGCTGCCTTCGTGGAGTGTGTCCTAGTGCACATGTACACTCCTACCAAGGTGGGGAGGACCTGGAGGTCTCCCCCATCTCGGAACAACCTAAATGTGCAGCACTGGGAAGTTAAATAACAAGAGACCTCAAAACAATCAAACAACATGCTATAACTTAATTTATCCTCTCTATCAACTGTCCCCCTATTTACACACACTACACATTGTAGACCGAACTAAGAACATGTTTGCTTACTGTGTATGCCATATACATAGAAATTGCGTGCAAATACAAGCACGAGTTTCCTTTAGATGTGACCCCCCCTTCAGTAGGTATGGAGTAACAAAGCTACAGGTAAGACACACTGGAAGGTTTAGAGGGTCCTTCAAACCTCTGCCACAGGTTAGTGGCAAGAAGGAAGTGACACCTGAGGACAGTCAGGAAGACAGGATTTGCATGGCTCACTGGAGCTTTGTGATCTCCTTTATAAGGCTAAGGGTCCGACTAACTAGCCACATCCCCAAGTCAGGGGTCATTCCCCGGGGTTCTCAAGAGCTGCAAACTTGGCTGCTGAAGACACTGTAAAAAGTCACTTACCAGGCTAAATTTCCATTTTTTCCTGTCTGCTGAAGGTCTAGATACTTTTAAAAAGTCATAATTTTGTAGGATCACTATTTTTTAAAAGCATAAAGGTCTAATCAACAAGACTATAAACATCAGTTTCCCTCTTCATGGAAATCTGGCAATCAGCATGCCAAGAAGTAAGGGCACTGGCCAGACCCTGCAGGAACCCAGAGAGTCTTACAACATTTTGGGGTAATTAGGGCCACTTTGATTACAGATGGCTGACCTATTAATACTAACGTGATGAGTGGCTCTCTGGAGGGTCGCTACCGGATGAGTGACCCTTAGCAATTTTGCTAAAACACATTTATTATGAAAACACAATATTTGCTTTTCCAACTGAAAAAAAAAACCCAGCAAACTTGATAATTTCAGTTTTCCACCCCAAACAACAAGAACTGCTAAATCCAACCAAACATGGTTGCCAGAGTCCACACTCCCCAAGTCTAAGTCTCTAACCAGAGCTATTACCAACCTAAGGATCTTGAACTAAAAAAGTAAAATATAAACAGACATAAACTGCTGTTCCTCCCCAGGACATGCGATGCTAAAAATCATAAGGTTACAACAAGGTCAAATTATCTGGTACCTCCAAATTCAATTCCAATTGAATTTATCACTCGAAGTCTGGGAGTGTTGGCTTGAGGAGGCAAATAAAATTATAAACAGAACGCTGGGGGAGTTAAAAAGGACCTCTGGGGCCTGGATTGTGGCCCTGGGTTCTGTTGCCACTGGGGGGGGAAAATAGAGGACTTCCAAAATGACAAGAATTCCACAACAGGGGTCTGTCTATGCAGCCTGAAGATAAGTGTTCTTGCAGAAGCTACTTGCTGGAAGAGTTGCAGGGGCTGCTGTGCTTGCTGCAGGAGTCAGGTCTGGGCACTTTGTAAACAGCCAAATAACAGATCAATAATAGAAGTCTGAGCAATACTGGACAACCAGACCAGAAAGCTCAAATCTCTCTCTCTCTCTCTCTCTCTCTCTCTCTCTCTCTCTCTCTCTCTCTCTCTCTCTCTCTCTCTCTCCCCCACACACACACACACACACACACACACACACACACACACACTGGTGGGTGGGTGGGTTGAGAATCAAGCTATCACTGACACAATGGGAAATGCCACGGCATCTCATTACCCTTCTGTCACCATTAAGCTCCCAGTAAGTGAGCATCCTGGGCTCTTAGGAAACAGCACATACGGATTAGAGGTTTCCTTCTGCTTTGCAAGGTCCTGTTGTGTTTATGATCTTTAGGCAGCTCTCCAGGTGCTTCCGTCTGTTGGCCTGTGATGGAAGGCTGCAGAATTCCCTTCAAAGCACCTGGATGGATGCTCCCTGCAGATGGAGGGTGCTCTCACAATTCTCACTCACTGCAAGACTAAGCCTGCTTTCTGGCTCTGCCCCTTTCTCTACCAAATCAACTCTACAGTAGATGGGAAAGGCTGGCTTCTCTGGAAGAACAGACAATGATGACATGCAGACTCAGAGGAACGACCAAGTAGGCTAGGAGAGATGTACACGAATAGAGGGCAGAGGAAGGCAGAGAGGTGGCCACATCAGGGCTTTCTTCCCCATGCCTGAGTTCCTGCAGGCTACAGTCTATAACTGCTTCCTGTTGGAGGGAAGGGGTCACCCTAGACACATGCACTGGGAAACGGCCTCATGGAGCCGGCCCATGCAGCAAGGGATGACCTCTGTTGCAATTTCTGTGTTTTGCTTTGAGGCAGAGCAGGAAATGGAGCAACAGTGGAGCTCAGAGATAGGGCTAGGGCCAGGGCAGAGGGTGAGGAGGAGGGACAGAAGTTTTCCCTGTCAACTGACTCTTGCTGGATTCTAAGGTCCAAGACGTCCAGCAAGGGATGGGATACTGGGATTCATTTAACTCCTTTCATCTTTTCCATCCCTAACAGGCACAAGACACTCTCCTTGGAGTCAGATAGGTATATATATATATATATATTCTATTGCTTGGAATCTGTTACCCTAAAACTTAAGTGACAAGAATTGTTTCCAAGGCCTGTCTTGGTTTTTGAGCAATAGGTAGGAGGAAGACTACCAGTGAGATTTGGGCGGCACTGGACACAATGTGGGTGCTGGTCAGCCCTGGAGCTGGAACAGGCACTAATCTTGTGTGTTGATGTAGGTGGTGCTGGGCTGAGCTGGACTGAACAGGGCTGAGCAGGACTGGGCTTGGCTGAACTGGGCTGAGCAGAGCTGATCTGGGTTGGGCAGGGCTGAGCAGGGCTGGGCAGGGTTGATCTGGGCAGGGCTGGGCTGGATAGGACTAAGCAGGGTTGGGTAGGGCTGAGCTGGGCAGGGTTGAGCTAGGCTGGACTGGGCTGAGCAGGGCTGAGTAGGGCTGGGCTGGGCTAGGTATGGCTGATCTGGGCTGATCTGAGCTGGGCAGGGCTGAGCTGAACTAAGCTAGGCTGGGCTGAGCTGGCCTGCGCAGGGTTGAGATATCGGCTTAGTGCTCTCATGTGGACAGGCCTATATTTCCGGACACTTCTGATCGCTCCGTGTGAAACATCACTGTCAAGATCTGGCAGAACTATGTTGCCAGGAAAATCTAAGTCAGTGAATCTCAGGTACCAGGTGGAGAAAGGCTCAGTGACGGAGGTGAAAACTTCCTATGGGAAAAGACCCTGGGGACAGCCAGTTTCCATGATGATGAAATTTTGATGATGAAAAGTTTGAATTATACTGTAAGCCCTGACACAAGGATTAGCAAAATCATTATGGAGGAAACCCCTCCAACAGTTATACAATTGTTTTGCCAGCCCTTTTGGGAACCAAGCTTGGGTATATACATGACAAGAAAACAACTCGGGAACGCAGACAAGTGCCCTCTGCCCCTTCCCTGTGGGCCCCGAGCCTTTTGCTACTGTGTTCTGCCTAGAGGCTCCAGACTATCCATTGTCCACATGACAGCAGGCTTGTTCCTGACTGATGGCAACTTCTTCTCTTCTTCTTCTGAAGTCCAGGGTTTATGAGATTCCAGGACAAGAGGACACAGCCTTGTTTGAAAGTTTCACACAAACTACATCACTTCTGACCTTGGCGGCCCGACAATGGGAAGGCTTGCTGCACGTGCTGGCACAGTGGCAGTTTCCGGGAGCCTGGGTCTGAGGGTTCTGGGTAAAGCAGGGGACTCTTGCCTGTGTCTTCCACATGGAGGATTATCTTGGGGTTCACACTCAGGCTGGAGGTCAAGACCCCTGCAAAGGAAACAGAGAATGGCCACACCATAGAGGTCAAAGAGAATCTCTGGCCACATACTGAAGGAAGTATATATGGTACTCAGAAGACCAAGGGAACTTGGTCACTGGGAAGAGGGTCTGATGTCCGCCCTGCCCCACAGTGTGTACTGCCAGAATGTTTGCAGACTGTACCACCAAAGAAACGTCATTCCTCTTAGTCTTTGCCCTGGATTTTCCTACATAAAGGAATTACAAATCTGTGAATCTCTGAAATAAAATCAGCCTTTCTGGCTGGCACAGAAGAATGAAGACAAGGCATCAGACTGCAGCAGAGTTGAGTGAAAGCCATGGAGAGCCCTGGGCTGAGCAGGTGACAATGCTGAGTTCCCGGGATCCCTGTGTGTTTCCATATTGATATTTCACACGAGCTACTCCTCAGTTAGTCCCTAAAGGGCCTGAGACTAGAGGTCAGGCCTAAATTGCTTGTCTGAATGAGTCCAGATGAGCATGCAGCTCTTTAGCACTGGAGGGAACAAGGAATAAAATTAAAGCGCACAGATCTGCACTCCTCCCTTCCCCAGGGTGGCTGTCTGGGGGCTCAGAGGAATACAGGAATGCTGCTGCAACACCCGGCCAGGGTTGCGGCTTGCTCGACCTCCCGGAGGGCCACTCTTCGATGAGAGGATCATTTCATCACCCTTCCCCTTGTAATATATTTTTAAATGCTCTAAGCTTCCCTGAGTGGCCTCCGCCTAGGACAAACCTCAAAAGCAGTGCTCCTGGAGCCTCATCCCTACGGCTTTTCTGCTACAACTATGGCCTTTGAAACGGTTATTAGTGGTGTTCGAAATTAATTTACTTGGCTTATTTTGTTTACAGCTTTTTATTTATTCATGCTTCTTTTTCTTTTAATATATATGTCTTTTGACCATGCCTTATCTTCTGGGGAAGAGCTTCTGAAATCGGTCCTTACCAGTCCCTGTCACATCACGTGGGGAGGCACTGTCCCATGCACTCTCTGGTTTCTCAGCACAGATTCCAAGGACAGGTTTTTCCCCTCCCTCCCTTCTAGGGTCAGTGAGGTTAGCAGAGGGGGGGAGGGGCCCTGAGCCCTCCTATTGTTATCCCCTTCAGAAACAGGCTATGAGGGGTGGGGGTAGCTCAGTGGTAGAAACCTTACTTAGTATGCATGAAGCCCTAAGTCCCAGTACTGCAAAAATACAAAACTTAGGTTGCTTTAAGCAAGCATAGCTAGACTTGGCCATCCAAGATTAGCAATGTTTTTAAACATGTATTTGTTTTGCTTATATATATGTACATGTGCTTGGTGCACACAGAGGCCAGAGAGGGTGTCAGATCCCCTGGGACTGGAGTTACAGACAGTTGTGAGTTGCCATGTGGGTGCTGGGATTTGAACCTGGGTCCTCTGGAAGAGAAGCCAGCTCTTAACTTCAGAGCCATCTCTCTAGCCCCTCAAGGATTGGGTTTTTATGGGCATATCTCCATCTCCTAGTTGTTAGGAGTGGGCAGGAACATTTGATCGGGGTGAAGGGCAAGAGGGGAAATAAACCTGGCTGAACCTCAGAGAGTGTTCTGGTTTGAAAGGCCACCCACTCTGATCGGATCAGTTGAGATTAAGAAGCCAAAAAAGAAAAAAAAGTAAGTCAATAAATGCTTAAAGATATTAGGTAAGGGCGTTACGAATGCTTGGTCAGAAGCAAACATATTAGCTATTCCCCAATCCCCTCTACCAGGGAAGACAAGGAGGACAGAGGGTCACAGCTTGAGTCCTGCAGATGGACAGAATAGTGCCAGCTGTCTTAGTGAATAAGTCAGAGCCATCATTTCAAAGCTTTGCAAGCAAGGGGTTTATACTCCTAAAGGCAGAGAGCAAAGCCACACCAGGATCCAGCGTAACCATGACCCATGCATTCCTTCAGTTCTCAACTCCTGCGAGTGCACCTTCATCCTGCGATGACTCCCCTATGCCCACTGTACCCTTTGATGGATGGGGAGACAGCAGCTGCAGAATGCATAGATGGGCACAAAGGATAAGGGCTGACTTTTTTTTGATACAGTCACTACACTTGCAAGCTGCTGGCAGCGCTGCCCCAGTTCCGCTTCTGCTGGGGATGGAAGCCGGGGCTTATTCAAAGGGCCTTAGTCTCTGTTTTACCTCTGCCAGCGCAGGCGCAGGAGTACACGGGGCAGGGGGCTGTAAATACAAATCTGTATATCTAAACTCCTACTGGGATGGGACTTTACAATCCTGCTCAGCCTTCTTGACTAGAGCACTTATGTTCTGTAGATGCTGTCACCTTTGGGACACTGCTGGGACCAGTCCAAAGCTTTGGTTGAGAAGAAGAGAAAGGGCAGCTGGGCTAGAGGATTGACTTACTACAGTGACTGGTTGCTCATTCAACCAGCAGGTATGGCAGCCTGCTGGGTTAGAGGGGTGTCCTGGGCAAGCTCTTTCTATTTGTGTTGGGACCACCATAGGAATGAATATGGCTACTAAGTGGCATCTCTCTCTCTTCTGAGTGGCATTACCATAGTCACTACCCAAGTTTTTCCTACCTGATGTGGGAGTGTCATATATCAATCTGTTGATTTCATTGGTTAAGAAATAAAGAAACTGCTTGCCCTGATAGGTTAAAACATAAGTGGGAGGAGTAAACAGAACAGAATGCTGGGAGGAAGAGGAAGTGAGGTAAGACTCCTCAGACAGACTCCATAGCTCCTCTCAGAGAGACAAGCGATGAAGCTCCGACCCAGGATGGACGTAGGCCAGAATCTTCCGGGTAAGCGCACCTTGGGGTGCTACAGACATTATTAGAAATGGGCTAGTCCAGGTGAGAGAGTTAGCCTAGAAGAGGCTAGATAGAAATGGGCCAAGCAGTGTTTAAAAGAATACAGTGTCCGTGTAATTATTTCGGGGCATAAGCTAGCCAGGCAGCCGGGGTGCTGGGGACACAGCCCCACCACTCATATTATTATACCTACCTGTGAACCAGAGACCCAGTACAGCCAGGCTACACTGGAGAGTCATACCCAGCCCTGCAGTGGTGGCTGCCACCCATCTGAGCTATCTGTGCTGGGTCAGTATCTCAGGCCCAGGACAGAAAGGTCAGGCTGGGAGGTCACACCTGCCATCTCAGCTTGTTCTCTGAGTCCTAGACTGCAGATCCTGGGGTTCGCTGCCCTCCGCACTTGCTTAGCTTTTGTCTGCCTCTCTTGTCCCAGCTGCTCTATTCAGCAGCCCTCCTTGACGACCTGCCCTCCCTGCGTGGAGGCCTATGGAGGCCTCTGCTAAGGCAAGTAGTCAAAGGCCAGCCCAGCACGAGCTTTATCTTATCGGCTCATCTCAACATCCTGCTTCTCCAGGCTTGCTCAACGAAAACAAAAGGGGGAGAGGGGGGGGCAGCGGTCCTGTACCCATGGCTCCCTGCAGCCCCCCACACAAAAGGGAGGCGACAAAGACATTTTCCACGATGGCAGGTGTTGGTGTCAGATTCCACCCAGAGTGTACCGGCAGAAGAAAGGCAGGCAGAGCTGGGCTCCACAGGCAGCACAGACATGTAGGGGCAGGAGAGTGGCAGGGCCCCTTGGGAGAAGTCAGGAGGCAGGCAAGGCTGAGGCCCAAGGAGCTGAGTGGGCATGAAGTGTTAGTCAACCGATACCCCTCCCCAAAAGCAGTGTTTAGCGTGTGCATGGGCACGGTGGCGCGGGGGACACCAAAGTGTTAGTCTTACCTTGCTCAAGTATAATGAGACAGCTCTGTGCTTTAATCTGAAGAGAGAGAAGATAAAAATCCAGTGAATGCAAGGACAGCACCTCTGCAGCAGCTTCAGTTTGATAATGGACTCACTGCTGAGAAGACGTGTTTATCCCAGCTCCCCCTGATCCTAAAGCCTTGTGCATCATTCCTGAATGCTCACTTGAATACCCACTTGATGGGACCAAATACCAGTCGGGGCCGTATTTACAAAGGAGTCCCCAGAAGCATACAGAACTGAGGGAAGATCTCAGTTTCCCGATCCTTATGACAGGCCCCTGTCAGCCCTTCCACAACATCTTACTCCCTGTGTTTTCCAGTTACATGCAAACTATTTTTGCTTCCAGAAAGTAGCTTTCTACCCCAACAACTCTACTCAATTCCATATAGCTCGATGCCTATCAAATCTGGACATTTAGCAGCAACACAAATCATTGTACACACTGCCACAATTACGAACTCAGACTTTCTGTTGATTCCATCTGCCAAGGTTGGCACAGTGACTAGAGATTTTTTAACACCATTCGGACACTCTCCTTGCTATGTCTCTCTGAAGGAAGTGTGTGTACTTCCATGAAGTTGTATTCTCCAATCTACTGATGAAAACTCGGCTTCCTGATAGAGCATTTGGAGTGGGAAGCCAGGATCCATGACCAGCCCTGGATGACCAAGTGGCACTTCCTTGTCTTACAATGAACTTGGGTCCTTCTCCATGGGTGGGCATAAGAAGCTCTATCCAGGTTGACTGCGGGTAACAGATGATAATGTCCTTAGAAGATAATTTCTAAGGATAATTTCTCCCAGCATGCCATATTGCAAGGTTCCATTTCATCTAATGGAAGATCCTCACACCTCTGTGTGCATGGGTCTACCTCAGGCTCCTGATGCTCTCCTATGTGAGAAAAGGCTCTTTATGAAGGGGCTCCTTGATCTCACTCTCCTGCAGCCCCCTTGGCCCTGGGTACGCTATGCATACAGGCCCTTGATTGGTAGAAACCCAGAAAGCAGATGGCTCACTAACAATGGAGGACTTGTTTGTAATTGCTGATGAGGACCGGTTTGCTCCTCTCCTGAGGGTCCCCAGACACAGCCTGGTGTGGTGTGCCGGCCCACAAAGAATATTTCAGTAACTGCCAGTCCATGGTTGAGTTAAGGAGATGCATAGCAGGGGCAGTTGGAGGCTGCCTTGATTATTCCATAGGGCTCAGACGTCACCTGCTCTTGACATCTAGGCAGTCCTCTTGAAGGGCAAGGTCCCAGTTGCTGGGGCCAGGGAGCAGATTGCCTCTCAGTACAACCCCAGGGGCTAGCACAGAGCATCAGCTACCCTGCACACTATTCAAAGAGCCTAAAAGAGAGGACACTGAGCTTGGAGATGAGGGATGAGAAGAGATGGGGAGGCACATGATGCCTGGCAGGAAAGGGGCACAAAGCATGCCCATCTTTCTTTTCATCCACTCAGATGTGTTCTGAGTATCATTACAGGCTGCAGCAATGGATACAGCAAACAAAACCCTCCTTGCTTTGGGGCCGTAGTGGATGGTGGAGGAGGCAGAGCACACAAATACACAGACACACATACATTTCTGTGGTATCTGAAGTAAGAGGCCAAGTTAGGAAATAAGGGTCTTGAGAGGTTCCATGGTGACTGGGGACATTGTACTGCAGGGTTACAGTGTATCTTGAATAAGAAAGCATGTCTGGACATTAGCAGCCAGCTCCTTTTCATGTAGGAGCAGCTGGAGAGACTCCTGGGGGGGGGGACACCCCTTCACAATCTAACTCAGACACCAAATGGCAGAAGTTTTGACCAATTGGCAACTCATACACAAAAGTTTAAGCCTAGAGAATCCAGAGGACCTTTTTAAAGAAGTGTTTTACTTTTTGGGTGTTGTGTGACTTCTTTGATATTCTGGATACCAACAAGGGCTTCATTTTTGAATTCACGGAATAACAAACATGGCCGGAGATTTGCATTCTCTGCAGCTCTGCCTAGGGATGCAAACTGAGAATCGTGGGTCTTTATAGGTTTGTTTCCTCCAGCTGCAACCGAGTGGATTCTGGAGCAAGCGTCTTATCTCTGAGGAAAGCCTGCTGTCCAGCATTGCCACCTGAGGTAAATTTGGGCCAGGCCAGACAAGAAATGTGGCTGCCTCTCCCCATATCCTTGTTACCGAACAGTTAGTGTGGAAATAATGAACTGGTTCAAGATAATTAGAAAAAGAAGGATTTCAAGCATTGGCATGGGAGAGGAAGAAAGACTGCACTGGGGTTCCAGCTTGAGGCAAGTGCTAACTATTCTCCCAGCAGGAAGGCAGGCAGAGGGGCTCAGAGAGCTGATGGGTTATTCAGACCCCTTGGAATGGCTCTGAGGAGGGGAACAGGTGCAGGCAGTGGATGGGAAAGCCTGCACACGCAACTCAACACTGGCAACCCAAGACCAGTGGGGATTTGCCAGCCTAATTAACATCTCCAAATGGCCAAGGATGGCTTCCAGTATTTCCAATCCAGCAGCAGTGGCTATGTTCTGGCTCCAGCCCTGGCACTGGGCTTGGCGTCCACTGCTTGGTTGTTGGTCTTGCCCATCAACTTTGGTTCTGAAGCAGAAAGCCAGGACAGCTGGACCAACAAGGGGTGGAGGGAAGAAGAAAGCACCCGCACTGTTTGCAGGCACACTTGTGTAGGGCCTTAGCGCGCAGTGGGAACATTAAGAAAAAAACGTAGCTGGCATTTTTCCTTTTGGGCAACTATTATGTGAATTTAGGAGCTATGGCTAAGTTACACACTTAAAAAAAATTAATGGTTCAGTGCCAACTTACTGGTTAGCCACAGTGGAGAAAGGTGTCCAGGCCTCCTCAATATCTCAAAGCACATGGATAGCAAGGTCTCGGCTGCACTGTAACCATAAGGGAGGCTGCTGGTCTTCTTAAACTGGCTCTACAGTGCATGGCTATAAGAGATTGGTCAACAGCCCAAGTGACCATCAACTGATGAATGAACTGTTTGGCAACGCTAAAAGCCTCCAATAAGGAGGAAGAAGCATTCTTCTTTTAGGGCATAGACACTGGTAGATTTCCCATGCTTCAGTGAAGGGTTCTATACCCATGTACACATGGGCATCACTAGTTGGGTTTAGTGGGATATAAAAGGAAGACATGAATTTGGAAGGCAGGAGTCAGGGTGGGTATAATATTTCAATGCACACATGAATGAAATTATCAAAGTATAAACATGCCAATAAAATACATTTTAAAAACACAATAAATGCTGTAGCATGAATACACTTTGAAAACATGTTAGGTGAAGGAAGCCAAGTCACCGTATTGTCTCATTCCATGTGTAAACACGGACATTTCGTATAATGTCCAGGATAGGTAGACACATAGAAACAGTGGTGGGTCAGTGGCTTCTCAGGACCAGGGGTGGGGTTTGTGGAAGGAATGAAGATTGATTTATGAATAGTTTTTATTTTATTTCTAAGGGAAATGAAACATTCTACAGTTAGACCATGGAGGTAGTTGTACAATCTGTGAAAATACCTAAAGTATTAAATGTATACTTTTTTGGATGATTGGCATGATATGCTAATAATATCTCAATACAACCTTTTTTTTCTTAAAGTTTTCTTTTTCTTTTTCCTTTGTAGTGCTTGAGACTGAAGCCAGGGCCTTGTGCATGGTTTGATGGGGTAGCTTTGTTAATCAATTATCTTCAAGAGGTGGGACCAAATTAGGGTGTGGCTTTCTGGGACCTGGTGCGATCTCTCTCTCAATCTCTCTCTCTCTCTCTCTCTCTCTCTCTGTGGTGCCCTCCCAGCACAGCTGAGCTTGGACTTCTCCTTCCTGTTTCATGAGTTTTCCCCTTATAATAAATAGAAATATAATTGTTTTATCTTTTAGCTAGCCTGGTTATTTCCTGAATCAAGCTAACTTCTACAATGGTGGTCAAGTATTTACCATTGAGTTATATTCCCTCCCCACCTCAACAGGACAGAAAGTGGTCTGAAAAATATTCTATACTCACCATTTCAAAAGCGATACAAGGATGATTTCAAGATTTAGAGAAAAAAAAATCTCCTGTGGGCCCAGGAAGGAGGAGCAGGAAGGATGGGCCATGTGGATGATGTCACCAATACCTCCTTAACTGAACCTATCTTAACTTCACACCACCCTCAAAGCAAGCACACTTCCTGCAGGTGCACAGTACTCCTAGTGACCATGGCTGACTCGAACATGTCCTGTAACTTGAGTTCAGCTCTCTTCAAACAACTCAAGAGTGGCCCATATAGGAAGCGGCTAGAAGTGTTCTGCCTCTGGACTTCCTGGGCTTGATATGTCTGTCATTCACAACTGTATTTTTGAATCCCCTGAGAAGCAGTTGCCTTAAAACAAAGTAGCAGTCAGGTCTGAGGTCTCTTCTGAGGAGACTGTGAGTTCTAGTGTATTCTCAAGTACTCAAGGAAACATCAGAGAAATGACGGGACTCCTTGGTAGTTTTATTGACAGAAATAGTCTTCCTTGGGGCTGGGAATGGGACTAAGGCCCTGTGATGGATCACTTATTCAAAGTATGTGAGTCCTTAGACTCAACCCTCAGCACCCAAACAAACACGCCTGTTGTCTTTAGACAATCAGCAGGCAGTGTGGGCCCAAGAGCAAGGCTTTCTCTACCAAAGCTCTTCCCATGTACTCCACTCACATTTGGAGCAAACAATAACACAGTACATGTTAATTACATTGCTCAGTTGTCTGGGCCAAAGTAGGAGAGCATTTGCCACTCACACCACAACTTGGCCAGGCCATAAATCCAACAAATTAGTTCTTTCTGCCTTTGAGGAGAATGTTTGGCTTTTGACACAAGGAAAGGATTTCTCTGCTACCTGGCAGTTTACTCCTGTGGATTTGTTCCAACACAATGGACACCCAAAAGGCAGGCACCCTGAGTGGGTCTGACAAAGAGTTCCATCCAGGACAGAATGACCTAAGTTCTAAGCCCCAGATCTTGACATGACCAGC